TATATATATATATATATATATATATATATATATATATATATATATATATATATATATATTACAATTAAAAAACAGCCTTAATGTTGATGCAACATTAAATTTATTATACTTAATGTTGATAAACTTACAATTAATGCAATTATAGTCATTATAACTTACAATGAATGCAATTATAATATTTGAGTTTTCACTCATGTTTGTAAACAAATACACGACATGCAAACTATAAACATAGCACGAAACATACTGTGATTCGTTCCGATTTGTAAGTTTGCAGCACCTCGACAATACTTAAAGTTAAAAAGGAACGCTACTAGCAGTATACTTTCATGACGTCATAGCGTCAGTACTCGCAGTAAATAAAGGAACGCACCCTTAGCTAGTAATCTAGTTTAGTATAGACATTTGTGTTTGCCCCTAGTGCTTTCTCATTCTATCGTGTAGAAAGAATATTGCCGCTGTCAAGCTGTCAAGTGCTATACATAATTTAGTACAGAATTAAAAGAATAAAACCATATATTTCACTTATCTCGACATAAAATTGATATTTATAATATTTTATGCTGTGTATAAATAATCACAGAAATTGCTCTTATTCTGTTCTCATTCCACTATCAAATGAAAAAGGTTAGGTTAGGTTGCTATGAAGGGATCACTGAAATATACAGAGTGTTTCCTCTAACTCGACCATTTAAAATATCTTCGTTGTTTTTGATGATGGGAAAATACTACAGGGAAAAGTTGTTCAATTGGAAGGGACACATATTATGACGAGCAAAAAATTTTTCTCGAGGTCATAGTTTTTGAGATTTCGAAGTCATCGCGATTTTTTTAAATGGAATAGCATATTTTAATGTAGTAATGCAGTTCATAAAAAGCAAATTCAACCATACATGATGTTATCTTTCAAATGACCTTAGACATTAAAAAATCACATTAGCTACTGCCACCAAAAAAAGGTTTTCATCTTTTCGTCGCGGATGATTATAAACATTACTTATGCTAGTTCGCACGAAGTTGTGCCTATTTCACAGTATGTTTACAAACATTTACACCTAGGAACATGAATTGTCGAAAATACTTAAAGACATTTAGTGTAGTCTTGATATCGCGTTAAAGCAGTTGTTTCTGCATTATAAGCATTTCTGCAATATCAAGAAAAAGATGTGTAATGCAGATAAAAAGCGGCTAATATCCAGGCCGGTATCGAACATTAAAGAAAAACCGCGCGCTAACGGGGAGCGGTGCACTTGGACACGGTGCATTTGGACACAGCCAATCACAGCACCGTGTGATTAGAGACATTTGTAGGATCCCTTGGAACAGCGACTTGTGATTGGACTGTGTCCAATTGCCCCGTGTCCAACTGATATACACCCGCGCTAACGTCTCGGCTTGAGCCTGAGCGGCTCCCTGATTGAAGTCGCGCGATATCAGCGTTCGGAGACAATCGCGAAGAGCGGCAGCGCGATAGCGATCGGCTATGTCGCGGCGCGGTTCTCCAAAAGCCATAGACGGCTTTTGTTAATTTGGTCCCCACCTCGCGATCCTGTGTAGTATAAAAGGGCGAGCACTGCGTTTAGAGTTAGTTGTCTTCGAGGCCTTGTACGAGAAAGAGTCGATACTGTTATTATACTAGTTATTCACCAAAGAAACAGTGAAGTTTTATTTCACTTCGGCCATCTGGCGTCTAAACCCTCTCTATTCCTTTCTAACATCCTACAGATGTATACTCAAGAAGAGAAAATAGAAATAGTTTTAATTTATGGAGAATCAGGCCGAAACTCAGTGCGTGCTACACAATTGTATGCGGTAATTGAAAACACTTAATTATGTTAATTTTTTTCTCCCATATAAATGTGATTTTTTAATATCCAAGGTCATCTGAAGGACAACATATCATGTATGGTTGAATTTGTCTTTTTATGAACTGCATTACTACATTAATGAAAATATTAATGAAAATATGCTATTCCATTAAAAAAAAATCGCGATGACCTTGGAATCTCAAAAACTGACCTCGAGAAAAATTTTTCGCTCGTCATAATATGTCCCTTCCAATCAAACAACTTTTCCCTGTAGTATTTTCCTGTCATCAAAAACAACGGAGATATTTTAAATGGTCGAGTTAGAGGAAACACCCTGTATATTATTGGACGCGCGCTGCCTCTTGAGGCATGATGAGAGAGAGGTTCCTTGATTCCTCTCTTATCTTTATCTGGTTCATAATATAGTCGAGAGTGGGGAGAATGTGATACAATCCAAGTTAAAAGTTAGATAATATGAAAACCAGTGACTACTGAATGGCATTGACTTAAGCTTATGAATAAAAGTTTTAGGATACAAAAAAATATATAGATATATTTTTTCTCATTTATTAGTATTTATTTATCGACTTATTAAGAAAAACAAAGCAAATATTGTTCCTATTCGGAGATTCAGCTTATGTTTAGAAATCAGCCGACTTAGCTTTTGGTTCAAACGGTATTAAACAAAGACTAACTAACTAATTAACCTAACTTACGCGAACAGGTTTCAAGCAGAGCTTGCTATCAACTTTTGATGGCAAATAGATAACAAATTTGATGCAGGATCTGTTATATCAAATCTTGCTGCCAAATTGCCGCCATATATGCAGCAGAGCTTGTTGTCGGATAATTGCTGCAGATTTGCAGCAAAAATCGCGCAGAGCTTGTAGCGATTTGACGGCAGATTGGTGGCAGAAATCGCGCAGATCTTGCTGCGCTGCAAGCTTTGCGCGGTTTTTGCTGCAAATTTGGGACCAATTGCTCGACAACAAGATCTGTCGCCAAAACCGTAGTCTAATGTAGACACAGATGGGTGTATATCAGTTGGACACGGGGCAATTGGACACAGTCCAATCACAAGTCGCTGTTTCAAGGGACCCTACAAATGTCTCTAATCACACGGTGCCGTGATTGGCTGTGTCCAAATGCACCGTGTCCAAGTGCACCGCTCCCGACACAGATGGCTATGATTTTGCTGTGAGTTTTTGATCAAATTTGCTGCCAATCTGCGCGCAGTCTGCGCTCAATTTGCTTATTGGGGCATGCTCTCTCCCATCCCGCAACACCCAAGAGATAGCGCGCGTTCCAGGTAGTATATATTTCAGTGGACGGGATATAGTTCTTGAATAAGGTTTAGTACTGTAAATAGTTTCATTAACTTCTTGTCCACAATCTTGGAGTCGATTCTGTATCTCAAAACGAAGTGAAAATTACAAAAGTGAGCAAATATACTAGAATATTCGTAATTTCATTGGTCAGTGCCTAGTGAATATGCTCACTTTTGTAATTTTCACTTCGTTTCGAGATACAGAATTGACTCTCTTGTTTTAATTTTTAAGCCGTAAGAAACTGACCAACCACAATCGATTATTTAAAAAATAATCAACTATGGTTGGTCAATATCTTACGGTTTAAAGATTAAATTAAGGTTATGGACAAGGAGTTAGTGCTGTAAGTGTTTCAGAACTACGAATGGATCAATCACATTACTTTATTTAATGTTTTAAAATATTAAACAGGCCGTACTTCTTGACAGTCAATATTATAGAGTGAGAAAGCACTAGGGG